CAGCCCAGGCGTTTCCGGGTTCCCGCGGTCCCGTCCCCCAAATGCTCCGGCTTCCGCCTCGGCTCTGGCAAATGCCGTTCCCGGCTCGGCTCTGGCAGCCCCAGCTCGGCACTTGGCAGCTCCGTCCCTAAGGCGACGCGCCTGGGCTGCTCTGCTGGCAGCCCCTGGTTCCTGCTTCACCGTCGCGTGGAGGCCTGGGGCACTGCTTTCTGCTACACCTCTCTTAGGAGCGCGAGACAGATAGAGTGACACTCGTCGAGGGCCTCTGCGGGACTGTTTGCAGAAGGTGCCAAGGTGTCCACTGCGAAAGAAAGGGCAAAGTCCTTTGGGGCAAAGAACCCTGAGAGGAACGGGGAAATGGATTTTGAAAGCAAACGAACCCGCTCCTAAAAGTGACTGTCACTGACCTGAAAACAAACCAGATTAGCTATGGCAAAGGCTGCCAATCAACCAGTGGTCTGCAAGAAGGCTTGTTCTTCCACTTCTCCCACCCTGACTGAGATCTTGAGACTGAGGGAAACCCAGAGCTATACCACCAATGGGCCTGGTGTCATCAATCAGGAGAGGAAAAAGAAAGCTGGGCCCAGAGGATTACAGAGTTATAAGGGACCTACCCCTTCCTGGCTGCATGGATTACAGCATTACCTTTTAAAAGTCTTCCAATGGCTGTGTTGGAAACCCTCTAACCACTGCAGCCCATTCAGGTGATGAACAGGCTGAAATCAGTACTTCAGGTTCAGCTGGGTTATCAAATAAGCGAACAGGATTATCTCTTTTTGTTAACTCAGTGCTGCTATAAATTCAGCCTATGTCTCTTTATATTGTAAATTATTAAAACCATGTCCAAGAGAGACATACTTAGAAAAAAAGTGAGATTGAAGAAAAATAAATAACTGTGTTAGAGTAGAATAACTGGCTTTAAAATTTTCTGCAATACAATCTTGAGAAAATTCCTGGACAGTAAAATACATGTTAGATCTTAATATATGTCCAGTTTTTTTGAAACCAAAATGTACCTGTTAGATGATGATAACAGCATGCCTCGTTTCATTGTGATTTGCTTTGTTGCTCTTAACAGACATTGCTTTTCTTTGCTTTTTTGTTTGTTTGTTTGTTTGTTTTTACAAATTGAAGGTTTGTGACAACCTTGCCTCAAGCACATCTATTGGTGCCATATTTCCAACAGCATGTGCTCACTTTGTGTCTCTGTGTCACATAATATTCAATAATTTTTGCAATATTTAAATTTGCTCATCATTATATCTGGTATAGTGCTTTGTGATCAATGATTTTTGATGTTACTATGGTAATTGTTTTGGGGTACTGTTATGGTTTGGCTGTGTCCCCACCCAAATCTCAACTTGAATTGTATCTCCCAGAATTCCCATGTGTTGAGGGAGAGACCTAGGGGGAGATAATTGAATCATGAGGGCCAGTCTTTCCTGTGCTATTCTCATGATAGTGAGTCTCATGAAATCCGATGGGTTTATCAGGGGTTTCCACTATTGCTTCTTCCTCATTTTTCTCTTGCCACAGCCGTGTAAGAAATACCTTTCACCTCCCGCCATGATTCTGAGGCCTCCCCAGCCATGTGGAAACTGTAGCTCCAATTAAACCTCTTTTTCTTTCCAGTCTCGGGTACGTCTTTATCATCACCATGAAAATGGACTAATACAGGTGCCACGTACTGCACTCATATAGGAAGACAAATTTAATTGATAAATGTTATGTGTATTCTGACTACTCCAACAACTGCCTGTTTCCCCACCCTTCTGCCCCTTGGACCTCCGTATTTCCCAATACACAGCAATATTGAAATTAGGCCAATTATTAACCCTACAATGGCTTTGAAGGAAATCAAAATATTTCACCCCAAAATATACTTCTTTGACATACTTTGAGATGACTGTTTAGAGGGCCTGCAGTCAGAAGCATGCCAGATGTGGTGGCTCATGCTTGTAATCCCAAGACTTTGGGAGGCTGAGGCAGGCGGATTGCTTGAGCCCAGGAGATTGCGACCAGCCTGACCAACATATTGAGACCCCATCACTACAAAAAACAAAAATTTAAACATGTGCCTGTCATAATGGTACATGCCTTTAGTTCTAGCTACTCATAAGGGAAGCTGAGGTGGGATGATCGTTTGATCCCAGGAGTTCAAGGCCACATTAAGCCATGATCATGTTACTATACTCCAGCCGGGCTGATAGAGCCAGACCCTGTCTCAAAAAAAGAAAAGTAGCCCAGTAGCCCTGCAAAACTGTCTCTTGTAGGACAGATTTGCATCTGTTGAGAATCTGCGTTAATGTAGCCAGGCTTTCTCTGAGGCCCTTCCTTGTCCAGATCTAGGAAAGATTAACTGAGATTCTGACACCTTTAAAGGTCTGAAAGAAACTTCCACCATCTGTTCTCTCTGAGGGCTGCTACCCACCTTTGCTAGTCAGACCTCTGCTTCTCTCCCTCCTGTAACTTGTTTTGCCACTATAACCTGATTTACCACCGTAATCTACTTTTGGCCATGCTTGAAACTCTCATTCTTTCTAAAGATGGTATATACCCTTGTGTACTATGTGGGGGATAAGACTAATCACCCTGTGATTTCTCCTCATACACACCAATAAATTTCTATGCCTTTTTTCTTTTTTCTTTTCTTTCTTTCTTTTTTTTTTTTTTTTTGGAGTTAGGGTCTCGCTCTAGAAGGAGTGCAGTCGCGTGATCATGGCTCACTGTAGCCTTGACCTCCAAGGCTTCAGTGATCCTCCTGCCTCAGCCTCCCGCTTAAGCAATCCTCCTGCCTCAGCCTCCTGAGTAGCTGGGACTACAGGCACATGCCACCATTCCTGGCTAACATTTTTTTTTACTTTTTGTAGAGATGGGTTCCCACTATTTTGTGCAGGCTGGTCTCAAACTCCTGAGCTCCAGTGATCTTCTTGCCTCAGCCTGCAGTATTGGGATTACAGGCACGAGCCACTGTGCCCAGCCTGCCTCTTCTGTTATTAATCTGACTTTTGTCCGTTGATTATTCAGCCAACCTTCAGAGGGTGAAGGGGAAGCTACAAAATCTCCCCAGGGCAAGAATGTCAGCTGAGCCTGAACTGCAAGTCTGGACATCCAACAATTCAAGTCAGTACCCAAGGTCTGCAGCTCTTTTAATAAGAACAATCCTATTACCCTTGAGGGATTTGCCTGTATTTTCTCATTTAACTCTCACAGCAGCCTTATAAAGTAACCATTAGTATCGTATTTTATAGAAAGAGAAACTGAGGTTTACAGACAGGTAACTTTCTGAAGTCCCCACATCTACTGAAAAATAAGTTGGGATTTAAATCCTTATTTGTCTCCCTTTAAAGTCCATATTTTAAAACATGACGCTTAGCTGCCATAGGAAGAAAAAAATGAGACAGAAGAGAAAGTTGGCAGACAGCAAAAGTAGCAATAGAGATAAGAATTATCAGTGAAGAAAAGAGATGAACATGAAGAAAGAGAGAAAAACAGCAATCTGGGACACTGGCCTGGAGGACTAGCTTTGGCTTCTCTATCATAGCAGATCTTACAGGTGAAATTTTGGCACCATGAAGACAGACAAATGAGAACAAGATATTAGTCTAAAGGCAGCCAGGGCCAAATAGGACTATGTATCTCAATGGTACCTAATTAGAATTGTCAGATAAAATACAGAGGCCTTCACCTGGTGCGGTGGCTCACGCTGGTAATCCCAACACTTTGGGAGGCCGAGGCGGGCAGATCACCTGAGTTTGGGAGTTCGAGACCAGCCTAACCAACATGGAGAAACCCCATCTCTATTAAAAATAAAAAAAATTAGCTGGGCATGCTGGCACATGCCTGTAATCCCAGCTACTTGTGAGGCTGAGGCAGGAGAATTACTTAAACCCGGGAGGCGGAGGTTGCAGTGAGCCAAGGATCACGCCATTGCACTCCAGCCTGGGCAACAAGAGGGTAAACTCTGTCTAAAATAACAATAATAATAATAATAATAATAATAACAGAGGCCTTGTTAAATTTAAATTTCAAATAAGCAACGAAATATGGAATATTTGCTATATACTTTTAAAAATTCATTGATTATCAGAAATTCTAATTTAGCTGGATATCCTGTAATTTTATTTGCTAAATGTGGCAACCCTATTGAACGCATAAATGCATTGTGATATTGTACAATAACTGGGATTCCCTATGATGCCCCAGAGAAATGAAGGCCAGATCAAATTATGTTTAGTGCAGTTGACACTGCAAACTTTATGCATACAAAGTGACATTCCCTAGATCAGTATCTTCAGACAGTGCCAAGCTGGTAGACTTTAAAGGATAAAGGTCAGAGGTTGTTAGAAAACCCAGGAGAAAATAAAGAAAAGACAACAAACAAGAAAGAAAGAGCGCAGGGACTATGTTGATAGACATTTTTAAAGAATTTCTGCTCAAAATGGTTGAAATACTGAAAAAAAATTTCAGTGCTTAGAGAATTAAACCGCAGGTTTCCAGGTGTCACTTACCAAATATTTTGTTCCTATGCCATCATAACTTTTAAAACTATTTGACTGAAATTACAGCTCAGGAGCAGGAAAAACCAGTTTGTTGTTTCAAGCTGCCAAATCACAGTAATTGAATCTGGCTTTTTCTTGTTAGTTCTTCAGAGGGAAAAAGAAACCTATGTGTTAACAAAACTGGAAAGGATTGACAAAGATTATCTACTTGTCCATCGTTTACTTCTAAGAAGACTTGAATGAGGTTACTTTCATTATAAGAGCTCAACTGTCAATATGAACATGGTCCTTTGATTTTGAGATGGATCTACAGAGTTTAGCATTCTCTAGAACATGGATCTTACAGGTTTGAAATAAAACTTACTTTTCATTTCTGAGGAGGAGTATTTCAGAGGCTTCTGGTTTTTTCCTATAGTAGAGTTACTTTTCGAGTCAGGGGCCCAGGAGATTTCACGGAGGTGAGGCCCTCTCCTCCCTCTGTACATTCAGAAAGTGGAGAAACTACCCTGCATGATTGCTGCCCTATGGGGCTTGTTGATCAAAGCTTCAGTTATCACTTGATGCTCTAAAGTCTATTTGGGAATCAATGAATTGGTTTCATCTCAGAGTCAGGGTTAAATGTAAATTAATGCCTTGGAGATTCCCCTGTATCTAGCACAGTTACCTGATAAAATCACCACAGCTTCCTTTGTGGAAGACTAGGAGAAAGTGCACAGTATGTATAGTATGCACTTGTGCTGTTAAAGGGACGTCTTAAAACTGGGAATGGGGGCTACAACTCTAGTAAAGTTGGGCCTCTATTTACCAGTCCTAGTGTACATTTGATTATGAAGTCCGTATGCAATTGGATTGTGTTGTTCACCAACTATTTCCCAGTCTCAACCTGCAGGGCTCTTCTTAAAGTAGGTCGCACTGTTAGACTCTCTTGTGGTTGAGTGAGACCACATGTCCAGTTCTGGCCAATTACCTCCGGGCCAGGGCATTGAATTGCCAATTTATGACTGTTTCGAATCCTCTTTCTCTCTGCTTTTGAGTCTGGCAATGTGCAGCATCATGACTGCTTCATCATCAGACTGTATCCTAGAATTAGGAGATGTGTAACCTGCAGTAAACATACAGCATGAACAAGAAATACATTTTTATTATTTTATGTTACCAATGAGAAAAGAAAAATAGCTCAGGGCAGTCTGAGCTTTGGGAGGTAGGCAGTCCCAAAGTGACAAGAGCATGGGACTTTGATCATTTTTGCCTTCCATCCTCCAACTCCCACTCCACATCCATGCTTGGGGACAACTGTTTAAAGTCATTTTTTTCCTGACTAGCTGCCTCAGCCATCATCTTTGTGTTGCCAGAATTTATGTGCAAAACAACAACAACAACAACAATGTATAGCCTATCAATAGCTTGGGTTATTTTAATGTAAATTCTTGGTAAACAAGTCAGGAGCTGCCTCTTCTTTTCCTTTAAAAATCCACTTGTAACTGCTGCTAATCAGAGGGTATGTTCAGGGCAACTTGAATCTGTACCCCTGAGTTGCAATTCTCAAGCTTGGCCCAAATAAACTCTCTACTTATATGAATTTTGCCTCAGTGTCTTCCTTTGAGGTCACATTAAGATTCTGCCAATTTCCAAGCACTTGGGAGTTGAAAAAAAAATTGACAAAACCTAGCATACATAGATTCATACAAAAACTTATGGCCAGAGATGGATGTATTTTAACAAAAACATGACTTTTGTGACTTTGACTTAGAGACCAAGTGATGGGGGCAAGCAAACTGATTTTAGCAGCTGGAAGAATGATAACCCATGGTGTGCTATGGAATATTTGATAAAACTGTGACCTGCAATTACTTAAAAGTTAAATAATAAACATAGTAAGTTTATAGCTCCAGTGCAAGAGACTAGAAAACAAAATGTTAATAGCATGTGTAGGTTAATGTTGGATGTATTTGAAAGACACTTCATGAAAGAGAAATACCCCAAAAATAATTTACTAATTTGTAAGCAGGAATGGAAAGGAATAAAGGCAACATAGAAATTCAGGAACTGGCAGAGTTGACAATGGCAAATACTTTTCTAATGGAAGCCTTTAATAATAATTTTAAAAAATCAAATCAAAACTATCCCTG